CAGGGTTTGAAGAGGAAGCTATTGAAGCTTATAATCAAGAGTCTTCGTCATCCACACCTTCCGGTGACTACAAATTGGTCCCCTGGTTGAACTGGGCCGAATGGGAATCCGTTAGAAAATCCCTCTTCTCTTCTTCTCCACGCAAGATTTCCTTTGCCCTCTCAAGAGTACATAGAATTCTCTCTTCTCTTCCATTTTTCTTTGTTGGTTTCTCATAAAGTATCCATTTTTAGATATCAACGTGGCGGAGCAGAGGTTGTTTACCAGTTGTGATTGATGTCACTGCTTCAATCGTTGAAATTCAACAGTCCGATCCTTTCTTCCGGTAACCATTTACTCATTAAAATTTCCCTTACTTTTTCCAACAGAGTTATGCATAGTTTCCTTATTTCTGTAGAGGTGACAAATCAAATGATGGTTCACATTCAGAACAAATGCTAGCTATGTTGTATTGCATGGCAATCTTGAGGTGAATTTCTTTCTTTTTCTTAGTAATTGGGGAACCTTTGGGGGTCTATAGTTAATGCCTTCATAGTTTTATGCTTTGATATTTTTTTAATGTTAACCTTTGAAGGCTTGTTAACTGTGTCATCGAGAAGACACGTAAGAGAACTGGGATTTCGATTGCTGATGCAGCTGATGCCATTGGTATTCCAAGAAGACTGATTGATGTTCGTCATGGTAAGCACAGTTTTAATAATTAGTATGGTGGTAGTGTGAAAGATATCTTCATCTAGTCACTCAGCTCCAACAAGAAAAAAAATGATTTGATTTCTTTGTTTCTTTATATTGGCAGAGGGTTCTCACCGTGACCTACCAGCCCTCACAATTGCTCGGGATTCATCAGTCGTGGTAGGCGCTTCATTTGTTCTTTTCATCTTCTTCATCTTTATCTTATAGTCGTTTTCTTTCCTTTGTATTTTTTGTTTTTCAAATTGTGCTGTGTTCTGTGGTTCTTACTAATTTCAGGCACTTAATTGGCTGAAATCCTATTATTGGGAACCTCAGAAGAAGCTAATTTCATTTCATAGAGATGGAATTGTTCATACTCAAAGAGAAATCAAATCCAAACTCCGTGAATTGGCTTTATGCATAAAAGTCCAGCAGAATCCTGAACTTAGATCTTTGCTTGTCAAAGGAAAAGGTGCTTTTGTCTCTTCCTTAACTTTCACATAATATTTGAGCCTTTTTTCTCTCTCCTGCAACTAATATAAGTGTAAGTGATTTCTTCCATGGATTATTTATCAGACTGTTTTTCTGTCCTGCATCAAACATAGCATGGTTCCCATTACCTGGTACCTTTTGTAATATTTTCCTCCTAATCTTTAGGGTTCATCTGAAAACACCATAGTTTATATTTTCTTCTTTTTACAGGTGGAAGACAGGTCAAACACCTTTGCGGCCGTAGTAAATTCTTTTCACTCATGGCAGGGAAGGTTCATTCATGCCAATCTGGAGGTATATCCTCCCTGATCAGTTACTTTTAGATGCATTTTTTGTACAGAAGAATTGTGATGTTTAGTATCAGAAACCAAATGATTTAATTAAACTATTCTTCGGTTGACCTGTTTAGAACATGTTGCTTCATTATTTCATCTTAAAGAATATTGAAATTATCTTCCCCATGAAAGTTACTTCTATTATTCTATACGATTATCAATTATTAGAAAGCATTTGTTTCACCTGAAATGTCGGACAGATTCTTTTAGATCTATAGGTCAAAGAGAAGCATATATTTACACCCTAAGTTGAGTTTAGGAAAAATGTGTTCTTTCCTAAATTCTCTTTGTCTATGTTGTTTCATTTTCACCCTTTCCTTCCCTGTCCTTGTTTAGCTCAAAATATAGGAGATGAAGAGCATTGGTTTTTCTTGAAACTTTGCAGTATTTTTAATGAAATTTCCACTGAAAAGTGAAATTGAGTGGTGTATAATCTATGCAGAGTTTACAGGCTTTTTTTCTTTTTATGTGCTCTGACTGGAATGCGTTGAGATATTGCTTTCTAGAATGTGCACTTCATGTCTAATAAAATTACTCATTTTCTGATGAGTGTGTCTGTATTTTCAGGTGCTAAGAAACGGATTAGCAAAACCTTAAAAAGTCTTGTAAGCTTATATTCTACTTCGTCCTCAGAAGTAGTGTCTGTATTATTGGAATTCTTGCTGAAGGCTTTAGATTCGTCAAGCTCCATGAACATTTCAAAAGGGACCGAAGATGGCCTAGATAAACATGCTGCATTGGATGATTGGCAGCCTGTCATAAAAAAAATTTCAAAGAAGGAACCAGAATTGCTTCTTGCCCTTCTTCAGAGGATTCTTGATATGATTGGGACAAAGGATGCATCAAAATATGAAACAGGTAAACACGTAATTATATCGACTAGGTTGTGCATCCCTTTTGAATGTCGCTTTTTGTCTTTGCCTGTCAATTGCTAGCTTAGTGGAACACTTCTACCTAATTTGGCATTTGTTTACTTTCTATCTATCTCCTTTTTCTGATTCTTATTTAGAAGGTCATTCGGCATCATTAGAGAGTAGACAAGAGGCTTACGAAATAGAGCATCTCTCATCTTTGTTTGCATGGCTGGTTAGACATTTGGAATTAAAAGCCCACGCCAAAGGTTCTGTTGAAATAGGCATGTCAAATTCAATTCTACTGGAGCTACTGCGTACCTGTCTTTTGGTGTCGGCTTTCTGTAATGACCATCTCTTGGATTCAGCCCTTCATATTGCACAGCTGGTCGGAAACAGTGTTTTGATGGAGAAACTCAACAAAATTCGTTCCTTAGGTTTGTCAAGTACAGAGGTTATGGAAGAAAATACTTCAAACGAGATTTCAAGAAGTTTTAGTCAAAATGAGGAATATATCAATCAAGCAGCTAAGAAGCTAGAACTTGTGAAGCTTCATGGAAGGAAGAACGCTGTCATGAAAACAGCAGACGATGATAGAAACTTGAACAGATGGGTTGTGGCAAAATCATGGAATCCATGTCCACTCGGTATGCTGCCACGTACTCTTGGGTCTTCTGGTCGCATTCCGGTTCTTGACGGTGATAGTGATTGCCAAAAGGATACAGAATCAATGGAAGGGAAGAACAAGCGAGAACATAAGGGACAAAGTGGCAAGAGAGAAGCCAGCGATGATATCCAGCTAATGAATATCTCAAGCCCTAAGAAACTAAAGGAAACGGTGGAGAAGTACCATGAACTGGGTAGCGAAGATGTTTCTTCGAGCAGCACTTGTGGACACCTAATGATGGATGGAGTGTGGAAGAAAGTAGGGGAAACAGAGGTGCAGGCTATAGCGTCTGCTGTAAGGATTTTTGGTATAGGATTCTGCCTGCATATTTGGACCTGCTTTAGTGTTTGCTGTGATCTATTCAAAAACTGTGGCTAAAGTCGTCATCCCATCAATAACCCTTCCCGACTGGGTGGATATTATTTTTGTTTTTGTTTTTTGGTAAATGTTTTTAATATTTTTCTATTATTTAGTTAACCAGGATACTAATTTAGTTAAGTATTTATATTATATCGATAAAGTAATATAATTCTAATTGAAAATATTTAATTTAATCAAGTTATATAATTCTAAACTTTATTATTAATAAATTATTTTCCATATAAATCCAGTTAAAATTTTGTGAAGCACTCAATTGATAAATCAATTGACCACTTTGATGGAGTCAACCTCCATGCCTTGGAAGATGTTCTTCTGATGGGTCTTTCCCCTTTTAATGGTAGGTACTTCAGTAGTGCCCCTTCCTGGGAAACTAAGAAGAAATCGTGTGGTGAAGAAAATCAAGCAAAAGTTTTAGGGTGTTTGTTTTCTTTTTTATTATGTCCTTTTGCGGTTTTTTTTTCGTTGCTGGAGGTGTAACTTAGAAATAAGGTGGTTGTCTTTGGAGTTTTGTGGATGTGATAGTTTTAGGTGATTCTTTTTTGTAACGGTGTATGAGGGTATTTCGTGTTTTTATATGTATTGGGTGTTCTATTCAATAAACTATTTGGTACTCTTTTCTTCCTTCCAATGTTCGTTAACATACTTCTTAATATGTGGACGAATACTAAGAAAATTTTTAATGATACCTCTAACTTTCATTAAAAAAATGAAAAGTTTGAATCAACACTCTAATAAAATTTTCATATGTCATCTTTGTATGGCCTCATCGGAAAAAGAAGCTTCATTGCGTCACACGATCACTGTGACAAAATTCAATAATATTTCCTTAGCCAATAAAACCAAAATGTAGACATGAAAATACTTTTACTTAAAATCTCAACTAAATTTAACGTAAACAATGTCAAGCATGGAGGTGCGTACCAAATATTTTAGTGGTCAAAGCTTTAAAAATATAATTGTTATCTCGAGGGATTTCAAACTCGAGCATCAGAGATTACAAACTTGTTTGAGCTTTTATTGTCAAATAATTGTGAATTTTTATAATATATACTAAATTATATTATTAATAAAAAAATGTCAAGTGTTGAAATGATTTTCTCCTTAAAATTATTTTTAAAAAATTGGTGTCTATAAACTCAATTTATTAATAATAAAAAATTGTTTTTAAATTAAGAAAATGTATTTATAAAAATTTCTATATAAATTTATGTATGAATTTATTTATATTTTTAATATTATTTAATAGAAATTACAAAAAAAATATATAGAGAAAATAATATTATAATTTTATTCATATATATTATTATTTAAATATTTGATTGAATTTCATATCAATAATTATTTTAACCGTACTTTTATTTTTTATATTATATAATCTTTAAATAAACTAAATTTAAAACTACGATTATAATATTAATATAAAAAACATTTATCACTATATCTAATATTATTTATTACGTAAATTTTAATAACATATTTTTATTTTTATTTTTTTATTTGATATATTATTAATAATTTTTAAAATTTCAAATACAATTAAAAAATATTTCACTGTATCGAATATTGTGAAATTATTTTAGTTTAGTCATCCCGGGCCCCGAGTAAATGAAGGTCCAATTTAATAGATAGTAGTAGAGACTTGAGCGACTGGGTACAATTTACAAACAAGTTTAGCAGTAGGAGTGTAGATCCGAACGAGAGGCAGAGCAATTGAATTAGGGCAAAAACATGGGGAGAACATCGAGCAAGGAAGACGCCGGAGCCCTCTTCCATTCTCTTCGATCTGCTTACGCTGCAACCCCTGTCAATCTCAAGGTTCTCTCCTTCTTTCCCCCTTTTTAAATTGATCCAAATCTTGAGTTTTTGATCCCTTTTACCTCTTTAATTGAATCTGGGGTTTTCTATTTACAGATCATTGATCTATATGTGGGTTTCGCAATCTTCACCGCCCTGATCCAGGTACTTCCATTCATCTTCAGAAACGCGTTTCCTAAATCTTTGCTTTCTCACTATATTTCATCCGCTCAAACTTCACTTTTTTAAAATACATCAAACTTAACAAAGAATAAGGTAATGCATAATTATTTTTTAGAAAATGCAAGTATATTTTTAAATGTATTTTGAAAGTCCATGAGAACCTAATTAGAGTATAATGCTCCCTGGAACCATTTAATTGTTGGATTAAGGTAATTGTATCTTTTGATTTTGCTCGCCTACTCTTTATATTTCTTCCAAAAACCATTGTTGCAATGTTTTGATTATTTCTGTGCTAATATTCCAATATACTTAATTTAGTTGCATATATTTTCAAAACTTCTAATTGAGGACCGCAGGTAGTTTACATGGCTATCGTGGGATCATTTCCTTTCAACTCATTTCTTTCTGGGGTGCTTTCTTGCTTTGGAACAGCAGTCCTTGCTGGTAAGTCGGCTTTTTATGGTATCTCTTTGCAAGGTAAATGATTGCATATGACACGGGTTTCGTTTCTCTTGATTCAGTTTGTCTTCGTATTCAAGTGAACAAAGAAAACAAGGAATTCAAGGTAAGGTTGTTCATAGTCTCTTTGGCTTTACTACATGAGTTACAAGGCAGAGGAATCGATACAAAATGGAATGTTCTTATTATCTTTCTAAAATTCAAATGATATTGAAACTGTAAATCTTTCTAAACTTTGTTAGACTTTAAATCGATGCATAATGCATTTGATCTGCCTTAAACCTCCAAAAATTACTTATTGTCTCCTTGAGGTGGTTATTGGGTGATGGGTATATGTATATTTATATTTATATCCTCTTACCACGTGATAAATACTTAACTTGAAAATGCTCATATCAATTGCAGGATCTACCACCTGAACGAGCTTTTGCAGATTTTGTTCTTTGCAATTTGGTGCTTCATTTAGTGATAATGAATTTCCTTGGATAAATCAAGCCTCCAGGTTTGCTGGACTGCTGGTCCTCTGTTTCTGGCTGTGATTCATATTTATGGTATGAAACAAGACTCTTAGGTCAATGTTACGAGTTTATGCATATAGCATATATAATTGGGAACTGTAGTAAGAATTTGATCTTGCCTTTAGGTAAAGAGTTTGGAAGTTACTTGGAGGGGGGGGAGACGTTTGAGTGTCATTTTGTTTGTTCTGATTAGTTTCAGTGTTTTCCTTTCATGCAAAGGTGTTTTATAGACTTTAGATCTCTCATCTGCTGTCTTTGCATCATCAAATTGTCACATTTTCTTATGGCTATATTATGAGAACTATTTGTACGTCTAACATGCAATTCCAATATGTTTTCTTTATTCCAATTGTTGAATTGATCAGTTTCAAATGCACTACCATCTCTCTTGCTCTTGTTAGTAAAAATGTAGCAACATAAACAAAACACATCATCTTTTCAAATACTATACTCTAGCCAATTCTCATTGTCTTTATATCAAGAATTTGGAAATCTTCGCTCCATTCCTGTAATTGTTTTTTGAAGTTATGGTTATGAGGTTAGAAAGATCTTTTTTGTTGGTACTGTCGGCACATCTTATGACGTAACGGAAAAAATAATTAAGCGATCTTCATTAGAAATGAATCCGGGTAAAAAGGATGAAATATTACCTTTTTAGAAATCTAAAAAATGCTGAGATATTGTTACAAAATTAATCGTCTCCAACAATGGATGACTTGAAAAGAAAGAAAGTGAGAGAATTGGGAAGAGAAGAGTGCACAGCTGAGGAAAAAGAGGAAAGAGCGGTTATCATAAGGTATTTGGAACATTTATAAGAAATTAAGAATGTCATAGGATTATGAGAATAATGAAATTAGCCAAATTACAATTTATAAGGAGAAAAGAGCATGTACTACACCACAATTTATCCTTGGTGCTTATAGCAATATTACCGTTGGGACTGTCTGCAGCCATCATAATCATAATTGGAGTAACAATCATCAACCCTAGTTATGATGCATAGGTTTTCTTTCTTTGTTTGATGATTATTGACCACATTTTGGATTTGAAAAGTTAATCCAGTTTTATAAATCAGCTAATTAATGGATCTTGGGTGTTGCATGATAAAGTATCTGATCCATGCAAAGCGCAGATCAGACTTTATCTCTTATGATTTTCATATAAGCTTTATTATATACGATGATGAACTCAACAAGTGATCTTAGTAGTTCAAGGGAGTATTATTCTCTTTAGAAATTTTGAGTTCGAACAACTATCTGCAGAGTGTGTTTTGTCAATTATTTAAAAAAAATTCTAAATAGATACTATTTAAAAAAATATTTATGTAAAAAATGGTTGACTACACTTGTAGATATTGATTGTATCGTAACTTCATGTTGACGAAAATGGCTACCTCAAAGATTTTGCTTGAATGTGTCATAAACACGAATGGAAATAGAATTTTATATTAAAAACAAATTTGTAATATTTTAAAAGATGAAAATATATTGTCAATAAAAATATAATATGAATTTAAAATTATTAGATAAGCGATTGTACTGGCCATAACAATTATTCACATAATTTCTATGTTCTAGAAAACTCTAGATAATTACTGTCCAATATGTCTGTGCTTGTTGATCTCTTTAGTAAGAATTGACTTTAATTTTGGGCAGGCTAAAGATGCATACGCACAAGCTCCGTATACATCTATGACTGAGCGATACAATGTCCTCAAACGTGCCATACATGGCAAACAAGGGTTAGAGGCGCATTAACAGGGTGGCGCGTGGATCATATTCCACTTATATATATTACTCTCCACGAATGACTAGAGTCTAACTGAACAGAGTGGGAAGTCTCGTGATATGATGGTGCATGCAAGGATATACTCGATCACCTTTATACTAAAGAATAATATTAAAAACTACCGCTAATGTTTCATTGTACAGTTATTTTGATTTGTATTTTTTTAGTAATTTTACCTTCTGCGTTTTAATTTAGGATAAAATATCTTTTAATGTTTGATTAAACATTCATTTTATCTCTTATTCCTTTTTTTGGAATCATTTTAGCCCCTAACATTTCATTTAAAGACAAAATGCATCTATTTTATAACGTTCATAGTTTGTTGACCAGATATTCATCCACATAGAATCCTTTTTACCCCAAAATCAAATGTTTGAGTTTAAATGTTAAAAAAAAAACTATTTCATCCAACATTAATGATATTTTTTATGAGATTATGCCTACACAATATTAAATATAAACAGTTGAGCACAGCAGTACTAGTAAGCAGTACTTGTTTATTAGCTAGGTTAAATCTCCACCTCACGTGAGCGCTGAATTAAAATACTGAAAAGATGTCGTTGGATGGATAGATCTAGTGGCTTATACATATATTTTGATGTGCAGAAGGGAGGATCACATGCACTCTCCCCACGCCATCTTCCCATTTGTTGAATCTATTCAAACTAAAACACAGTGCACGACGATGCTTTCCCTTTTTAATGTTATTTATATGCATGGATTACAACAAGCCAAATTAATATAATAAGACTGTAATAAAATAAAGAAAGAAACATAGATAGAATACAAAAACAAGTGCATGCATTCCCTTCTCTATGTATTATTTGATTACTGTTTTGCATTCCCAATGTTTTCGAATCATCTCACATTTCTTAGATTGGATGCTCAAATTTTCTATTCCCATTTCTTGTAATCAAGAGTGTCATACCAACGTTTTAAATTGTGCCCGTCTCTTGGAAATTAAACTTTAATGTATATGGACCGTCTCCCACCAGGTCACCACCTCGATATTCATTGTTCTTTTCATTTTATTATTTTATTATGTTATTAGAGTTTAGTCCCTAATGTTTTCTTTTTCATCCCCTGAAGTTTAATTACATGCATCAACTTTCGAATTAGAGGTTTAATTTTGGGAACTGCGTATAAAACGAATAAAAGATTGGCAAGGGACAACTAATTTAGTTGCCGAAAATATTCTCTGCTAGGACCGTAGTGAGATGAATCGAGCTCGATTATTATTTAAAATTCAGTTTGATTCGATCTAAAAGTTCGCAAGTGTAAAATTATCGAAATCCATCGAGTTTAAAATCAAAAATTAAAGTTTAATTTGAACTCGAAAAAAACTTAAATTCAAAACATTCCAAGACTTAGTTCGGTTGAATATCAAATAATTCATTTTAAAATTTTGAGTCAAATTTAAGTTTTGACCAAATTTATATAACTCAAATACCGATAGAGTTAAACCCAAATAACTTTTCATCTGTCATTTATATGCAATTCCCTGCCCATTCCGATTGCATCCAGCGTGGACTCTGTGCCTACTAAGATTAGTAAGGACGACGTGGGGTCTGGACAGCCGTCAATTATAGAAAATATTAAATTGGATGAGGCATCACCATCCGTTGATTTTCCTAACTCGGATGAGAAATCTAAAGGTTGGGCCTGACCTGAAACCTCAGAAATATTGATGATGTAGCCTGGCAAGTGTGTTTTGAGGTCCACGCGCCACCCTGTTTATGCTCTTCCATTGGCAAACTTGTGAGGTTTACACGTGGAGGAGCCGTTGGAATATGATCAGAGACACGTCAGGATGATAATGGCTTGTTTTCAACTTAAAATTTACAAGTTTATAACTAATTTTGATTTGTTTCTAATTTTAGTACAATTTAATTTGGCTCAACTAAGACTCAATGCAATGAAAGCGTAACAAAATCCCATTCCAATCTTAAAACTTTAACAAAAGATTTAATCCGTTTTGGTATGATCTTAAAATTTTAATAAATGGACTCATCAAGTGATTAAGTGGTTAAAAAGATTATTATTATTCCTAGAGATATTGAATTCGAGCAAATGCGTCTGGTATGTGTTATCAATGATTAAGAAAAATTCTAAACATATACTATTTTATAATCACTTTAGACTATTAAAAAAATAATTATTATTTTAAAATATATTATGTAAAACTATTATAAAATATTTAATAAATATATGAGACCAGATAAAACATATATCATTTAAATCTAGTATTATATAACTTTGAATTTTTTAATACAAAACACATTCTATTTTGACTAATTTTGATTTTTAATCTAAAAAAATAAAAAACTCTCAGACATTCAACGCTTGTACCCATGTATATATGATACTGAAACTATATATATATATATATATATATACATATATATTAATAAATTTATATAATTTTTATTACTTTATTTGTAATTATTTTATTAAATGGAGTTTGTAACTATATATTTTATATAAAGTTGTATTAAGAAAGTGGAAAATCTCATCAAAGAAGGTTAAAAGAAAAAGTCTCTGAGAAAGAATTTTACAACTGAATTCCCAATGCATCAATTAATTGTAGGGTAAACTATACATTTAGTACTCCAACTATAAATTTTGTTTTATTTTAGTAACTCAATTATTTTTTATTTCAAAATCATACCTAGTGTTACCGTTAAAATATTACAAGTGATGTTGACGTGTCATCATAATATAATGTCACATCATCAGTGAAAAAAAGATAAAAAATGACGCATCAACAATTATGTTAATTTTTTAACGAACAGTGACCAAAATGAAACCAAAACATAACGTTTGGCATAATTTAAAAAATAATAATTTGACGACTAAAACGGAAAAAATAATAGTTGAGGTACTAAATGTATAGTTTACCCTTAAGTGTATAGAAAATTTCCATTCATGTTGTATTATGTTCAACACTATATATATTGGGATAATCTATATTTTTTCTATTTTGTTACTTGAAAGTATTAGCACTTAATTAGTTAGATAAAATCACTTAAAAATGAATTTAATGTTTTAATTAAAAAAAACTCAAAGGACGATGCATATCTTTCTTCGATTATTTATGGCTTTGTCAGCATCATCATAATTAATGTAACCTAAAATAATATTTCATGCGAAATACACATTTTTTAGTGTGATTCTTTTATCAATAAAACAAATGTTAAATTAACTGAATTTTATTTTGATCAACATTATTAATATTATAATAAATTAGAAGATATAAATTAAACATGTTTTAATATATAGTTTTCTTAAATAAAGATTATAAATAATTTAATCATCGTATTAAAAACGAAAATGAAATGATAAAATTATTTATTCCAATATACATTCTATACATATCTAACATTGAAATTATTAAGGCTTAACATTTGATATTAATCATCAATTGAGATTATTTTTTTTATAGTAAATATCTTTTCATACTGTTAATTTCAATCATCTAATAGTCTTAAATCTGTGAAAAACCAGAAAGAATGTGCAAGTTGATCATAACTCTTAAGATAGTAATTTACTTAATGATAGAAAATAGGGTAAGTACACAAATGGTCTCGGGCTTCAGAATGTTGTTTTATTGAGTCATTCAACTATTAAAAGTTACAAAAGAGTTTTCTAACTATAGGACGTTTTGTTGAGCTTCCCGACTATTAAAAGTTACAAAATAGTAACTCAACTATTCATATATTCCAAACTTGTCATTTTCCATTAAAAATTTAACGGTCGTCTAAGTTGGATGTTAATATATTGATTATGACATGACAAAATTATATTTTAATGATGTCTAGTGGCACCGCCATTATTCAAGTACTGACTCAATGATATAATGTTTCAAGCACTAGTTCGATGACGTAATATAAACGAATAGTCGATCCAAAAAATACAGCTCAAACGATTCTAAGATCATATTTTATCATATCTTAGTCAATATGTTAACGTACAACTTATACGGCCGCCAAATTTTTAACGGAAAAGGATGAGTTTGAAACATATGAATAGTTGAATACTTATTTTATAACTTTTAATAGTAAGGGGACTCAACAAAATAACACTGTATAATCGGACACCATTTGTTTAACTTACAGTGTTCCATAGAAAATATTCTAACAAATCCATAAAAGAAAGTGAGTGGATTTCTCTTTGGTGAGATTTGACACAAGCATTTTTTTGACTAACTTGTTCACTCTTTATATGATTATGTCTTAAATCTAAATGAAATCATTAAAGACCAACAAGGATAAAGATTGTGCTCAAATACCTAATAGCATTAGTCTTAGGAATCAACACAAAGCTAATTTTTTTATATATAAAAAAAAGTCCAGATAATGATCAAGCCTCGACTTTACAAAAATCCAATTACTTTAAATAAATGTCTAAAACCAAATTTTATCATTTTTACTTTACAAAAATTGAAAACTTCATTAGAATCAACTTCATTTTTACTTAATCTTATATCAATATGACAGTTAAAAATAAGTATTTCCTTATGAAATAATCGGGATCTCAGTATCCAAAACTGTCATACTGATACTAGTTTAATCAAGTTTAAGAAATTTCATTCAAAATCAACAAGTTTTTGTCACGACATTATGAAATCACACATTGCTTATAATATGAGGCTTTTTAAGTGTTTAAATATATTCTTTTAAACATACACTCATTGAGTGTTGAAGACTAAACATATACGCGTGTATCGCTATCGACATCTGACTCGTGTTTATGCTCATGCGATTACGTATCTTTTACATGTATCACGTGCGTTGTTTCATTTTCTTTTTTTAAATAAAATTCGTACATTTTTTGTTAAATATTTTTTTATTTATTTTCATTTTAATCCTAGTGACGTCAGTGTTGGAGAAATTGTCCAAATGATCTACAATGTAGGCAAAACTCTTCCTAAAAACCCCTTTTAAAATACGCTCCCACGTAAATAGGGATGGCAAAAAAATCCGAATTCGACGGGGAAAATTGAATTAAACAGGGATGGAAAAAAATCGTTTATGCTAAACGGGGACGGGTTTGGTAATCCCCGCCCCGATTACCCGGCCCGATAAATATTAAAAATAATTATATATATATATTATTAATAAATTTAAATTAAATTAATATAAATATATATAATATTTATATATTTAATTTAAATATATATATACCCGGCCTGATACCTGTTTAAATAACCATTTATGCTAAACGGAGATACTCGTTTCCCCGCGGTTTTCACCGATTACCCGATGAGGATCTCCGTTTAAATCCCCGCGATTTTTTAAACGGGGAAAATCCACGGGGATGGGTATGAATTTTTTAAACGGAGATGGGGACAGGGACGGGGGACCAATACCCGACCCGTTGCCATCCCTACACATAAATGTGTTTTTGTCAAAAGGGTGTTATTTTGATAAAAGAAATATTGTTTGGTTATCATTTTAACAAAAATATTAAAAAATAATTTTAATAAATTAATCATAATTTATTTTGAGGTCAGTTGGTAGAGCACAATGTTATTAATTTTGAGGTCGTGGGATCGAGTCTCACGAAGGGCATTTCATAATTCGGAGGTCTCTTACGGAAGCTGTTCTCAACCTGGTGTTAGGGATAGTCTACTATCTTACCTCCCCCTTATCCCATACATATGGGAAAAAGGGACAGCCATTTTATTCAATAAATTGTATTCAATGAATTATTAAATATTAATAATTTATTTTCATGTATTCACCAACAAATGAAGTAATTTCTCAGATTTAATAAAGTTTGAGGATAAAATTCAAAATTAGACCAGAAATCAGAAAAGTAAAAACTGAAGAGAAGCGAGTATCAGAGATTGATACCCGCATGAGAGTGGAGAAAAGGAGAAATAACAAAAAGACAAAACAGAAAATTGTCTTATTGATGTAGCAGAACTGGTAGCAAGCAAAGACCGAAGATAGAGATTGTACGAATTCACTCCGCTGTTCAAACTGACACGCATACGCAATGAAGTTATGCACAACAACAGATTCACATCTATGCCTGTCTGATATGTTTTTCATTTTCTTTTTTTGCATCATTTTGAAAGTTCATAGCTTTAAGTGAAGGAGAGCCCATTAATTAAAATCCAGTTCTTCCAAATCTGGTGTCATGCACTCAAGCTTGCTCATTTTTCAATGACTTGGGGTTGTCTTAGCTCTTCTTGTTGGGGGGGTTGAATGGGGTGTATGTGTTCTCAGTTGGCTGCAAAGTTTGCTTTCTTTCCACCATCTCCGCCCACGTATCAGATAAAGAAGCGTGACAATGGGAAGCTCACTGTGGTTTCATCTTCCTCCTCCTCTTCTTCTTCAGCGCTTGCTGGTGTTTCTGATGATCCTTCTTTGGATGTGCTTTTGATTGACACCAAACTTGGAAACAAGATAGTTGGTTTTTATTTGCGAAACCCATACGCTCGCCTTACTGTGCTTTACTCTCATGGCAATGCCACTGACCTTGGCCAGCTCCATGACCTCTTTGTCCAGCTCAAGGCCAACCTCAGAGTCAATCTTATGGGGTACAGTCTTCTTCTTATTCTTCTCATTTTATTTTTTAGTTCAAAATTTCGTCACCTGCACTTATCTGTGCTTTACCTGAGTAACTTGGTTGTTCTTGTTGATGCTGTCTTCAATATGTAAATATCATGTTTTCTTCTTGTTTTGGGTCCGAATGGTCTTATTTGGCTTAGATCTGTAATCAGTCTCTTCTTTAGCTAATTCCTCTATTTCTAAGTATATGGCACTATTCAGTGGGTAAAATCCCTCATAGATGGTTTGTAGGCGTAGCCATTAAAAGTGCAAGTAAAAATGGGGTTCCTCTTCTGCATGCACTTTTTACTTTTTCCTGCAAGTCCTAGACTTTAGTGCAATGTGGCAGCAGATGAGGTTCTACATCTCTCTTCTGATTCATTTGGAGAGATATATTGCTTGTCACTTGAGCTACAAGTTTTTAAACAATGAGATCTTTGAGCAAATGCATGATGCACATTTTATTGGGTTGTTTGCTGAATGCTAAACTGCAGGTATGACTATTCTGGCTATGGAGCATCAACTGGTAAGGTAGGTCGATTATTTTTTCTTATTATTTCGTTTTGTTGATGTTAAAGTGTTAAACCTGATGTTGATTTTGCTAATGTTTTGATTGTATGATTTACAGCCAAGTGAATCCAACACTTATGCTGACATAGAAGCTGTGTACCAATGTCTTCAGACTGAGTATGGAATTAGCCAGGAAGACTTAATTCTATATGGCCAATCGGTCGGAAGTGGACCGACGTTACATTTGGCAGCTAAACTTCCAAGGCTGAGAGGTGTAGTTCTGCATAGCGGCATTCTTTCCGGCCTTCGTGTGCTTTGCCATGTTAAATTTACATTCTGCTACGACATTTTCGAGGTAATAATCCGTAAATCGACTGCCTTGTGAGAACGATATCTAATCGTATTGATTTCAGGACAGTCTGATGATTGGTATTTCAGTTCGCTGCTTGAGCTAATTATTGTTCTTAAAACTGCAGAATATCAACAAAGTAAAAAAGGTGAAGTGCCCTGTGCTTGTAATACATGTAAGTACCTTTCGAATTCAGCAAATCTTCTTATTGTCTATTTAAACCATATAGTTGTGCTAATATCAAATATTATCATTAATCAGGGCACAGAAGATGATGTTGTCAACTGGCTGCATGGAAACGGACTGTGGAAAAAGGCAAGGGAACCGTATGAGCCTTTGTGGGTGAAAGGGGGTGGTCACTGCAACTTAGAGCAATACCCCGACTACATACGTCATCTTTACAAGTTCGTTTATGAAATGGAGAACATGACAACGGAAATTCGCCTTAAAAGTATACGGCAGAGTTTGCGTCTACCAACAAGGTCAAATACTAGTTCCTCGGTTACAAGTGACAGATGCTGTGAGATTAAATCATGCCAACCCAAATGCCTCAGATGTCCAAAGCCAAGATGCAGTAGATGTTGCTGGTGGCCTAAGTGCTGGCCACCGAGCTGTGTGAAATGTTGCCGGAAACCGAAATGCCTGTCCGGGTGTTGCTGCTGCTGCATCAAATATTCATGGGGGAGATGTGTGGGTACACATAGTAATAAGAATAATGAGTTAAATAGTAGAAAGACTAGAGGGCTAATGTGATTTGTACAGCCCTCTAATCTAATCTAGTGTACAAAACGAGAGAAAGTACTTTATTTATTTCTGGAAATTTGATTGTGTTTTCCATTTTTTGTTATAATTTCAAATAAAAGAAGCTTCCCTTTCCTTTCGATACAAAAGGATATGAATTAGATAAATTGGAATTTAGTATAAGTGGAGCATTGATTTCGACCGAGACGTATAATGCTTATATATTGCCATTTTAAAGGCATGTTATAATTTACAAATGTAATCTTAAAATGAAAGATGAAAGATGATAACAAAATGGTTCTATGGTGTAGTGGTTAGCACTCTGGACTTTGAATCCAGCGACCTGGGTTCGACTCCCGGTAGGACCTGCTTTATTTCTACTGTCTTTTTGCTTAAAAAGGTGCGCAAAATTGGATGAACTTCAAACTGAAAAATACAGTCAAAATACCATGTTTTTGGAACAACGTGAGTTTCAGTATTTATTCTTTTTCTGCAGCATTGTTTACATGTTCCGAACTTGTTCAAACTTGCAACGTCACATTCCCTCGAAATTAGCATGTAATATAACTTTTTAACCATTCATCCTGCTTGATATATCTGCAACGGGAATCGTTCATTGCACAACAATTGCAAAGATGCTGGTTAGCTCTTAAGAAAATGATACTTCGATTCGACATAGCTCTCTGCATCCCATAGGAACGAACCAAATGCCACCGCTTCCAAGACTAGCATTGTCAACCCAGAGAAAGTGATGGAAACTATTTCATCATTCGATGTATCAACTGAACCATCATCAAGAATCCGAATGTCAGGCCTCCCGAACAGTGCTTGTGTTTGCTTTTCAATCAATGAAATAGCTTCTTTGGATCTTATGGTTGCATATCTCTGAAGTGTCTCAGAATCCAAATACATGACGTAGGATCTCAGTCTATATGATTTCCCTTCAGCGTCAGTGTATCCTCCTCCATCACCATCATCAGGTGGGATCATGATCAAAGAATCTGGATCCCAGAGCTGCTTCTCCGGATTTGGAAACTCAAATCTTGCTTGGTCCTTAGTGAAATCCTCAGGAAGGGTTTTCATAGTTCTCTCAAGTTGAAAGCGTTGATCAACTCTTCTAAGGAAATATCCATACATTATCGAAGCAGCATAGAGCTTTCCAAGTTTGATCTTGGTAATTTCAACAATGGTGCTGAGGGGACCGACCACTCGGTCTCCAAGTACAAGGGATACATGGCTTTGAATCATTTCCAATGCTTCAGGAGAATGAACAGATTCCAATTTCTCTTCCTGGTTTGGCCAAAAGTCCACACGTCGGGTAGGATCTGAAGTTGCTGTTACCTTGGGAATCATTGAAATCTCATTGTCAACAAATTTCTGTACAATCAAGCAGTATATTATTTCCTTCAATGTTTTCCGCCTCTCCTTTTCTTTAATTTCAGCTATTCTCCTACAGTTCAATTGTTTCAGTTATATCAGTAATTTCATAATGGACTAATAGCAAACGAACAATAAACTAATCACTAGTAGAAACTTGAAATAACCAAGTCAAAAACCAAATTTTTTTTATAAGGAACTTAGCATAACATAAACCGATTCACTGGTAAATGCCTATTATCCTGTTAATATACAAAACCAAAAACCTTTTCGTTTAGTCTAACTCACATGCGTGTGCACACACATCCAAATGTTAAGTGTGATAGAATTTTTCAACTTACAACAACTGCACAATAAAAGGAACTAACATGGAAAGAGATGCTCACTTGTAGAGGAGATCTTGGTTTGGCGGAGTTTCTTCTTTCTGGTCATCTTTATCACTCTGAAGGTTATCCAGCTGTTGATCAACGGCTGCAGGCAGTAAATGAGGATGAGTTCTCAATATTTGTGCCAAAAGCTGGCCAACTGGGGACTCGAATTCTACAGGAGCAATTGGTGACAAATTATCACCCGACTCCCCTGAGGCTCTCACAGTTAAGCATCTTCCTCCTCGGTACTTATCAGGGACCATTGCTAACTTTGGAGTGCAGAACGAAGGACATCTCTGGATAGAAAAGATTCTTTGAGAGCTAAGAAGACAAGTGAAAGTATCAAAAGACTGAAGATTCTATGCTTAGTCACACAGCTCAAGCCTCCAGGCATTGCCTTATAATGCAAGGCTTTTTTCTATAACATACATGCTTTAGGAGCGAGTATTCCGGAACAGGTAACGTATATACTCTACAGTTGACTTTTACTCGAACAGAAATTTGCACGAACAAGAGACTATTGTCTTAACCAGATTGCTTTCAGCTACTCGGTATTTCACAATTACAACGTCATGTTTTAAAAATCAAAATTACATTATTTCCTAATAATGGTAAACCATCGAACAATCAGAGAAGAAAAGGCTTCTTGGTCTAGGGTGCACCTACTAAAGCATGAAGATCCAAAGGCCATCTAAACTCAAGGACTGTTTAAACTACTTGATAAAAGAAACATGCTACAGAGATTTTCCATATTTATTTCTTTAGGATTCACCAAGACAAGTACAAGATCAAAGTAGAATCCGAGCATTTCATCTTCCAATCTTTCAATAAAGTATCCAACTGACTTATGTTATCATGGCAGAAAATATGAACAAAGATTATGCAGTTGCCAGCGGATTGCATCCAGTGGGAAAGAAAGCTCTAACAGGCAGCGGCCTTGGCCCCTCAAGAAAATTTTCTAGCTTCAACACTCAACAGATTCCTAATAACCATCAACCAAGCTGGATTTTGCAAACCACTAACGTAACCCTAGTATCAAGAAACGAAAAAGAAAAAGAGGAGAAACCACGAAACTCATCAGCAATTCGTATCAACTATCTAATTAACTACCAACTTTTATGTTCTCTATGTCACAAAGAAACAACTATTTCAAGGGACAAAAAAACCCAGAATTTAGAATCTTGTCCTGAATTCTCAAATGAAAGAAATAAGTAAGCAAGTTATGACCTTTTTGTTTTGGAAAAATCAATGCAACAGAAACATACATATAAACACCTATATTAAGAAAAGGAAAAGAAAAGAAAAGGGTCATACTTTGAAGAAAGGAGAAGATGAGCAGAAGTGGTTGGAATTAAAGTGTCTGAAACTGAGGGTTCCAGCTGAAGGGATTGCTACCAACACCTCGGTTGTTACTCCTGCAATATGCATTTCTTACTCTGCTTATTTCCTTTTTAGTAAAACCCTAAACCAAAACTCTCAAGTTTAAGAGGAAAGAAGGGCTGAAGAGACTTTTGATAATGGTGACAATACTGCAAGATGGATGGAGTGTGGTGGTTGTTAAAGCTGGTTTCTTTGTGGACTTCTCTTTCTTTCTTTTTTATTTTTTTTTTAAAGTTTATTCTATTTTATTTTTTTAGGTCTTTTGTCGTTTTATATTATTCTAAATTATTATTATTTAAAAAAAATCATGTACATTTTTCTTGTTTAGCAAGAAGTGTACATTTTTAATGAGTTGTAAGTATTTTGAATATAAAAAAAATTCAATAATCTCTATATTGTGAGTTATTTCTTTTAAGGTGTGAGTTTAATACTCAATAGAATAAAATATTTTCACTAATGATATGTGTCCTCTTATTAAAATGACACATATCATAATTCGATTAATTGAAAAAATATAAAAAAATAAAATATCTGCCTTCGAGGGTTAGACTTGAGTTCGAAAAATCTCTAGACTACTTTACTATCAAACCCGTTTGTTGTATTTGTTAAATGGTATAGAACATAATATTTGTTAAATAGTAACTCATGGGATGATATCAATACCTATGTACATATATCAATACCATTAGTGATAGGATCTTAATTTTTAGTTGCGACTCAAGTGTGACAAATCTAATAGCTAAGGAGATCAATTAATAAACTAATAAGTGAAAACTTGATAGTGAGAACTTGACACTATGTGAATGTTAATAAGTTTGAAGTGAGAACTTGATTATTTGTGTTTGATAAGCATAAAGATATTGTGTGATAAGATTCTAAAAGGCTTATATCTTTGTTAGACACTATGTAGGTAGTGATAAAACTCGAGTTACTAATGTATGAATATCGTCTAGTATTGTGTGAGCAAATATATGGATATTCCAAGAGTAGTGGTATTAAGGCATTGAAAGAATGCTAGTTGGATGTTACTATAATACTATTACGACTTAGATACATCTAGATAGCCTAGAGGCGTAGGCTATTAGATGTACGTTCTTGATGTGTATGTGACCTAAGTCTCACATGAGGTATTTAGCCATTTTTATTAAGTTTGAGGTCAAATTACATTAATATCTTATTCAAAATTTATGAATATTCTGTCTAAATATCAACGTCAAATTAAAATTTAATCACTTTTACTAACATGTCACATTAACATATTAATAGAAGCCAACGACTCAATATCTAAAATACGACATATAAAAAATAAAAGTGATTATAATATGATTTTTTAATAATGAATTACAAAATCAAATATACCGAAAACAAAAAGGATCATTATTATTGTTTACCCTAACTTTATTTTAGTAAACCAAATGTGCCGTAAATGTTTTTCACAACTTATAAATTGTGGAACACAACAAGAGAAACAAACGCTGATAGAAAATAGTAGTTTTGAATATTAGCGGACCCGAACGGGTTAGACAAAAATTTTAAAGAAGAAGAAGGTTTAAAATTGGGCCGGATTTGGACCGACTTGGCGGGTGAAATTATATTTCATCCCCGCTGACGCTCAGCTGACATTAACGAACTTCTCCGTCTCTCCATTCGCCTATACAAAGTATTAGAAACACGCACACAAAATCAAAGAAATTCAACTGTGTGCCTGTGATTGATCTCCTTCGCCATGGACTCGTAAGATTTCTCTCACCTTTACCTTGAATTCAAGGCTTAAAATTTTGACAAAAAAGTTTTATAAAAAAATTTAGGGTTTACACATGTTGATTATCTGTTTTGGTTCGTTTATAGTTATCGCGATGAGGAAGGAGAACCGATTATGGACTATGATGACATTCGGTCGGATCCTGGTTCACCGGAGCCA